CCCCGGTCCCACCTGCAGCAGGCCGAGGCCGGGCCCGGCCCGCAGCCCCGCCCGCGCCAGCATCGCTCCACCGCTTCCCCGCCGCCCCGGAAAGCCTCCCGGAAGACCTTGCCCCTTCCGGGTGCCCCTCCCGGAGCGGTCCGTCCCGCCGCGACAGCCGCTGCCCCTGGTTCCGCCCACCCACTCCCCCCCCCCCGGAGGAGCGGCACGGTCCGGGGTGAAGCTCCAAAGAGGCGTTTATTAAATTAGAAACAAGCAAGAAAAGTACCGATACAACCTCCCCGACCCCGCTGGGCCACGACGTGCGGGACCCGAGGCCAACCTCAGGGACCCGGTGGGGTGAAGTAGGCCCCGGGCCGGTGGCAGCGAGTGATGCCCTGTGTCCGTCCGTCCGTCCATCCCGTCCGTGTGTGTTCCCCCCCCTCCGCCAGGCCAGCAGGGCCGGAGCCTCTCGGCAGCCCCCGGACAGGGGAGAGCAGAACCTCGGTCCCCCGGCCCGCTGTGCCCGGAGGCCAGTCGCGACGATCCCTGCACCCCGGGTCTGCCACCGGGCGGAGAGGAACAACGTGAACAACGGGGTGGGCTGCGGTTCAAGTCACCCTGGCCCCCCGTGCTCGCAGCCCCACGTAGGTTGGCGTATGGCGTTGTGGAGACCCATGCCTCTCTTCCTCCACCTTAGGCAGAGGGGCTGGAGCTCCCCAGAGCTCAACCTGGCACTAGGAGCCTAGCGGAGACCCCAGATCATAGGGGTGATGCGGACAAGGGTCGAGCAAGCTCATTTTTCCCTTGCCTCCTGCCCCTCACCTTTCTGACCCACCCTGGCCTTGGCCCGTAGCTCTCAAGGCTGCAGCAGGGATAGGGACTCCTCCAGATCACCTTCAAGCCCCCCCGTGAAGGTCCAGCCCCGCTCCCATTCCATGTCCTCTGCTGCTTCTCCCTTTCCCAGGGACAAAACTAGGGCTCCTGCCCATCCTCCAGCACCGGACCACACTGGATCACAGGTAGGTCACCCTCTCTCCCCGAGGCCAAAGCAGCCCCAGCCCCAGTTACCCTTGTGGTCCCCACAGCCTTGCCCCAACGCGGGCAGCCCCACACAGCCCCGGGCCTCATCTGGCACCGACAGGGTGGGGGAAAAAACAGCACAGCACCTCCACTCCTCTGTGCTTCCAGCAACAATAAATACTAATAAATACAAACTCTTCTGCACTTTCTGCTCCCAACCCTGGGATCAGCAATGGGCAGCCTCACCTGGAGCCCCAGGCCCAACTCTTGCCCCCCCCCACCAGCAACAGCCAAGTCTCCAAGCTGCAAGCAGCACTGGCAGAACACTTGGACATGTCTCTGGAGGGCTAGGGCTCATCCCCAGGCCCTTCCCCTCCTGGTGAAGCCCCCTCGGTGATCCCAGCCCTGCTGCAGGGCACAGGGACAGTAATGGTGCTGCTCAGGAGGGCAGGGGCACGTGGGGAGGGCAATACTTCAACGTGGTGCTTGCTTGCTGGCCCTTTACTCATCTCTCCCCAACGTGCTGGGCTGGAGGCTGCACGGTGGCCCTCGGGGATGGAGGTGGTCAGGCCCAGGGCGAGTAACAGGGGTTTCTCGGCATCTCTGTGAAGGATTTCAGTTCATAGGGGATCCCCGAGTCAACCTCAATTGACTTGCGAGAGAAAAGCAGCCGGATGTCGTTGTGAAGGTAGATCTTCCCTGACTTGGAGCTGTGAAACCTGAGTGGAGACAAGAGCAGAGCAGAGGGACCTCAAGCTCCCAGGCATGGGCAGGACAGCCTTGGCAGGGGGGGCACAAACCCCTCCCCTATTTTAGCCCCTGGTCAAGGTGGCCACGCTCCAGTTGCCTTCAGAGGGACAGAGATCGCTGCCCTTGGGCAGGGTGGCAGCTCTGACCTCCCTGAAGAAGCACCTGGTCCCTGCTCCTCCCCAGGGTGAGGGGGTCAGGCTGCTATCACTCCCCACTCTGGCCTGCAGGCTTGGCAACGGCAGGGACACATGGGAGAGGAGCCCAGGGGTGACCCTGGGGCAGGCGTCCATCCTTCCCAGCATGCCCTACCTTAGGTGCATCAGGTAGCAGAGGACCCTGCGGGGTGGGCCAGTGCCCGGTGGGTTGCTGGGGGCTGTGGTTGCCCATTCCTCCTCCCCCACAGGCACCAGGAAGATACGATGGCGTAAGAAGGTCATGTGGTTGGCTGGCATGTCCTGGAAGTCGTACGTCACCAAGAACATCTTCACCACAGTCTTGTTGGGGTTAAATAAGGTCTGGGGGCAGAGGAGTAGGGGGTGAGATTGGGAAAAGCACAGGAATGGATCTGTAGTGCAGGGCTGGGGCATCTGGGGGCAGCACCAGCAGGGCCAAGGGTCCAGAAAGCCCCACACCAGCCCCAGAGGGCTTAGCCTGAGGCCCACAGGCCAGTCCTTTCCACTCACCTCCAATCCTGTGATCCCATCCCATTGCCCCATGTGCAATACATGCTCTCCTGCCGAGACCCCATCCCTCCTCACCAATCTCTTCCTTCCCTGCATCTCCTACCACCTTGTCTCACTGCTAGCACCCTGGGGACCCTGTGCCACCCTCCGCTCTGCTGTCTTGGTGGCCATGTACCCCTCTGCACAAGCTTTCTGGCTGCTACCATGCCAAACAACATAATGGAGAGTACCCACCCTGGGGGGGCAACTGGAGCCCACCCGGCCCCCTCCCCATGGTGCTACTGGAGGCCAGGGAATGACTCACCACTTGGATGGTTCCAGCTTTGGGGACATTATAACCCTTCTTTCCCAAGGCCTCCAAGTCAATCACTCCCTGGGGCAAAAGAAACAGCATGTGAGAGGGAGAAAGCCCATGGAGAGCCCAGCTGTGACCCAGCACGGGGCTGAGAGCCCTCATCGCCAGGAATGCCTGGCACAAGGCAGCAAGAAGACGCCCAGCTCAGTCCTTCTCCAGACCAGGGAAAGAACAAGCAGCAACACAGACGTGATGGCAAAGCAACAGCCATGAGACGGCTGGGCAGCAACCTGCCTGTTTATATGCCTGCAAGGGTTTCCTCTTCTCTCCCTCTTTGCTTTTTGGGTTAAATACTGTTCCCGGCACAGCTAGTGGTCTCCTCAGGTAGGTGGTTGCTTGAGCCATGCTCTCCAGAGAGGGGCACCTGGGTACAGCCCCCACTCACCTCCCCCACAGTCCCAGCCCTCCCTTGTCCACGCACCAGGAAGGGCGAGGGCGCGCTGTGTTCGGAGATGTCAAAGTAGGTGACGTCAACGGGCAGGGTGGCGTGCTGGGGGCAGTAGGAGCCACTGGCGCCGATCTCTGCCGTGAACCCCTCAATCCTCCCCGATGGTGCAAAGCGGCCTTTCAGGATGGATTCCTGAGAGAGGAGGGAAGCGTTAGGGACCTTCAAACACCAGCCCAGTCCCTTGCCTCGAAGCTGCAGGTGACATCACCCCCATCTCCACTGCAACCACATGTCTGCTTGTCCAGAGACCATCCATGAGGAGCCCTGGCTGCTCGGTCTGAGACAGACCCATCCTGAATTGGTGGGCTAAAACAAGCCATCTAACACAGAAGCAGTGAGAGCTCCTCAGCTCAGCTCCACAGCAGCCAACTCAGCAGGGTCCTGGTGCATCACCCAAGGATCTGCTGGCTGAGCCATCCTGCCAGTGGATGGTGGCTGTGCCACATGGCTACTGTACACCAGGCCCTTGAGGACAATCAGCCCAGCCACACACCAGGGCTTCCATCAGGTTCAGCCTCTCACACCTCTCACCAGCCCAGCCTGGAGCCCCCGGGACCCACCTCCCTCCCTGGCAGATGGTCGCTGTTACCTCAAAGTTGCCCAGCAGAGCATGGCTAACAGTGGTGGTGGCCCAGGGTGCTGCAGACCACCTGGTGCCCCTCTGGAGGCTGTTGCGGAGGTGTTCCCTTTGAGAGAGGAGACAAGATTGGTGTTGGACTGAAGAGCATCCAGCGCCGGGCTGCCTGTGTCCCTGGGGATGTGGATCCCTCTCCAGGTCCCCCCAACCCCTTCTTTGGTGGAGGTTAAACCCACTTTCCTACCCTCTAGGGGCAGAAGAAACCCACCACCACCCTGCAGCCTGGGGGCTTGTGGAAGGGAGATGTCTGGGGCAGGGCAGGGAAGAGGATTAGACCCAACCCAGCAGGGTGCTGGAGTGGCTGGACACCCTGAGCCCCCATGTCCATCCTACAGGGCTGCCAGAACACTCACAATTTGAGGCACAGCCCGCTCTTCAGCCTCTTCCTGATCGCACCGCAATCCACAGAGCTCTGGAGGGGACATGAAATCGAGAACCATGTTAGGACAGCAACCAGGGACTGCACACCCCTGGGAGGTGCCATCACCCCTTGCCCTGCCCCACAGCCCTGCGAGAGTCCCAGCAGACTGGACAGGCTTCCATCCATTGGGAGCTGTATGTAGCCTCTGCAGGGGCAGCCAGCTGAGCAGTACAAGGGCTGGGGTGTCTGGTGGGGACGTGGGGCTGCCCAAACCCCAAAATGGCTCTGCTGGGGATGAGGGTGTTGGTACCCAAGCCGAGGATGCAGCACACGACTCCCACCTTGCAAAGCAGGTCTCAGGACCACCCCCAGTGACAAGACACTCCCAGAGAGAGCCATGCACCAACACCCCATTGCACCTTCCAGGGAATGGTAACACATACAATGAAGCTCCCTGACCAGGCTGGGAAAAGTCCCGTCCCCTGGTGATTCATGCAGTTTTCGGTAGTGCTGCCAGGCAGAGCGGTGTGCTGCCCACCCCTGCCTGCAGCCAGGCTCCTACAGCTGTAGGGTAGGAGGTTAAATCCAGAGCCACACTGCAGCCTCCTTTAAAAGATGTCCCCTTTTCAGGGGTTTTCCCTTCTGGAAGCCACACAAAGGGCAGCACAACACAAAGGGATGATGGAGCTGGCTGGCATGACCAGGCAGGAAAACCCAGGGAAGCTGCTGGAGGGCTTCACTCTGCAAAGGCAGTGCTGGGGACAGCTGGGCTGGGGAACAGTCACCAAAAAAAGGCACGCAGGCAGGGATGGAGCTGTGCCCCATGGACAATGTGTCCTGGCTCCAAGCAGCAAGAAGCTGGAGTAGCTCTGCTGTTGGTCCCTGCACCATGCAATGCCCCAGGGAAAGAGAGGAGCGTGCCAGCTCTGGCATGAGCCTGCTGCAGCCTTAGCTGGCAGGACACGGTGAAGGCAGGGAGCTTGTCAAGAGGGAAGGAGGAATCGCAGGCAGCTCCTGCAGGGTGGTTGCAAACCTCCAGAGTCTATCCCATTTCTGAGAGCTTGTCGCACCCTGGGGGATATGCCACGGGCACCCCAGAACTGCAGAAAAGCCAGTGGCATCTCTGCACACAGCACTGGCGCTCCCGCTCCTTGGCCAGAGCATGTCCAGTCCTGCTCCCTGCCACCAAACCCTTGCCCTGATGGCTCTCACGGCCAGGGACCCAAGACATCCCACAGCTCTGCCTTCCTCCTCACCTGGCAGGCAGAGGCCAGCCGCTCTTCCCAAGCCTGCTGGTAAGTCTAGCTTAACATGAAGCTGTCAGACACTGAGTGTGGTCCCACACCATGTGTCCAACTCTTGCTGTCATGGGGAGGTCATGTCCTGTCCCAGCAAGGCTTTCCAGGCTAAAGAGATGGTTGCAAGCAGAGGATCCAGTGACTACAAGGTGTCAAGAGCTGGTGACAACCTACAGACCATGTCCCCCAGGGTGGCTGTCAGCTGCTGCCCTGCTCACACCAGTGCTGTGGCACTGGGACAGGACAGGGCACGGTGCCACAGTGGACCACATTGCCCACAGGGACAGCCCTAAGCTCTGGGTGTCCCCAGGCCATTCCCTGCCTCCCCCCACCAGCGATGCTCACCTTGGCTGCAGGAAGCAGGTGATTCCAGAAAGGGGCCCCTTTGGCATCAGTGCTGCGGCAGGTCGTGGGCACTGGATGGCAAGGCAGGACCCTCTTCTTCTTGGCCAGCGGGGACAGACTCTTATCCTCAGAGCAGGAGGCAGCCACAGCCTCGCCAGTGGACAGCAGCTTCTTTTTGGCTGTGCAGCTGCTGCTGCTGAGCTGGCTGCTCCTGCAGGGTGTCTTTCCTGGTAAGCTCAGGTTGCTGGGCGCAGAGCTGAGCGCTGTCTGCAGAGTTGGGGAATTCTTGCACCTGTTGGCCACCACTGGCCATTCCTCTTCTCTGCTAGACCAGCTGCTGTGAGCTGGGCTGCTTCCTGGCTTCTCTCTCTTCCCACCAGAGCCCAGCTGGGCTGTTTGTGCAATATTGTGCAAATCAAAGGGTAGTAAGTTGTAGCCACTTGCCTGCTCCCCATTCTCCCCATAGTCTATGGGCTGATCCCCCGATGAGACAGAGCAACTATCTCTCATGTGCAAAGTACTGCAAGCAATGTGCTGGGGCCGGGAGGAGGAGGAGACATCCTGCAGCTTGTCCTCTTTGCTGGCCTTGGGGGTCTGGCTAGGGCTGCCCTCACACCGGTGTTCCACCACCCGCAGCCCACTGTGGGAGAAGTGCTGGGCAGAGCCGCTCAGGGATAGCTCCTCCACCAGCAGACCATCCTCAAAGGTGTCATCATCATCATCATCATCCAAGGAAGCCTGCCCAGGGCTCCCGTCGTGCTTGCCATCCACCACCCCACTACCCCAGTGAGTTCGTTTGGGATCTCGCCCTGCCTCTGGAGTTCGCTGCTCAGGGTAAGCCCTCTTGACAGCTGGCCGGCTGCCTGCCCGCTGCTCCATGTTCTCAGAGGAGCTGGAGAGATGGGAGAAGATGGAGACCTGGTAAACCTTCTGGCGCGTGATCTCTGTCTCATTGTACCCCATGAGGATGCTGCGGTGGGTGCAGCACTGCGAGGAAGGCTCCAAGGGTGCCTCTCCACTGGGCCGGGACAGGCTGGGGTCCGTGCTGTGCTCCGGGGGCAGGGACGTCTCTGCGTGGATGTGCCGCATGAAGCCTTATTTGCCTGGACTCCGAGCAGAGCCGGAGTCAGAACAGCCCATGCAGCTGCAGCAGGAGGGGGACTGTAAAGTGCCACAGGTCAGGGTGCAAGAACAGGGGGTGGGAGCTGGACCCCTGCCTTGTTCAGGACGTTTGGGTGAGCCCTCTACTACAGGGTGCACTGCAGCACAGCATCTGGAAAGAGAGCAGGAGGATGGAGATCAGCCCGGTATCCCTGTCCTCATCTGGGCTTTTGGTCGCAGGGGACCTGCTGGGACGCAGGCAGCTCCTCGTACAGCCCCACTTGGACCTCCCTCTTCAGGGATGGGAAGAGGAACCAGGCTGGTGTAGCTCTCTGGGGAACCCTCCGGCATCACCCACCTGCAGGATCAGCACTTCCTTCCTGGCCTGGGCAGAGAGGAGTCTCCAGCCAGGCTGGAGACTACTGGGGACAAGTCTGGACAAGTGGGGAGAAGGGGGCCTACCCTCTGCCAGGCACTTGACATGCTTGTGCTGTTCTGGAGTGCAGGAGTCAGGCAGGTCAGACCAGTCCCAGGGGCTCAGGCCTGTAATCACCCCTTTGGGCAACAGCAACAAGATCTCCCAGCGCTCACCAAGAAGACCTGGCCCAGCGACATGCACTGAACAAGGCAAGGCTGGTGCTCTACGCTGCCAGCCCCACGTTAGGTCAGGTTCCTGTCCCCAACATCACAGTTATCTCTGCCAGCTTGGACCAGGGACCTCCACCACCTCAATTATCGGCTGGGTGGTACCACGGGCTGCAGAGCCCACCACAGGCTCCTGCACCATCTACCTACTCCTGCCTGCCCTGAGAGCCTGACCTCCTCCATGCTGCATGGCGCCTCACTTTTGATTTTCAGCCCAATTTGAGACCTGTGAGAATCCTGGCCATGAGTTTTTCTGGCATGATAAATACTGAAATGGCTGCAAGAGCTGAAGAGATGCAGGAAAAGTCCCCAGCAGGCTGAGGAGCTCCAGAGCCTGAAAAACTGCCTGTGCCTGGCAGCTCTGCCCTTTGCCTGTCCCCACAGCTCTGCAGGCTCTTGTGGAGCAAAGGCTTAGAGGCAGGTGAGGAATAGGGGAATTGGTTCTCCATGTGGGTCAAGGCTATCTGGAGAATCAGGCTGCATGTGGTATTTTGACCCTGCCTTGATAGGGATGGGAAAGCAGCAGGCCAGGGTGGTTAAGCCCAGGGATTTTGTTTAAAAGGAGCGATGAAAGGTATAATCATGCACCAGCACATGCTGGGGTCTGACCAGCTGGAAAGCAGCTTGGCAGAAAAGACACTGGGATCCTGGTGGACACCCAAGTTGAACATGAGCCAGCAGTGGGCCCTTGCCACAAAGGTATCCTGGGCTGCATTAGGCACAGTATTGCCAGCAGGTTGAGGGAGGTGTTCTTTCCTCTCTCAGCGCTGGTGAGGCCACACCTGAGTACAGCAAAGGGCCACTAACAATTAAGGGACCTGAGCATCTCTCCTATGAGAGAACAGGCTGGGAAAGCTGGGACTGTTCAGCCTTGAGAAGAGAAGGCTCAGGGCCATCTTATCAATGTATATAAATACCTGAAGGGAGGATGTAAAGAAGATGGAGCCAGGCTCTTTCCAGTGGTGTCCGGTGACAGGACAAGAGGCAATGGGCACAAACTGGAACACAGGAGGTTCCCTCTGAACACCAGGAAATACTTGTTTTACTGTGAGGGTGACTAAGCACCGGCACAGGTTGCCCAGGGAAGTTGTGGAGTGTCCATCCTTGGAGATATTCAAAAGCTGTCTGGACATGGTCCTGGGCAATGGCTCAAGGTAGCCCTGCCTGAGCAGAGGAGTTGAACCAGATGACCTCCAGTTGTCCCTGCCAACCTCAACCCCTCTGTGTAACACGCCATGCTGCAGCCTGTCCTGGCTGCTCCCCACACTCACCACTCTGCAGCAGAACTTTGCTTTGCTCCAGATTAACTTCCCTGTCCTGCAGCGTGCGGTCGTTGGCAAAAATAGCTGAAAACACCTCCCAGCCAGGCATCCCCTAGAAGCGACGTGGCTGCCGTGGAATGGCTCCCACCATCACAGTGTGCCTCTGAACCTCTGTACCATCCTCTCCAGTTCTTCAGTTTCCACAGTGGCTCTGAGGGGGAAGGAAAGCGGGAGATGCAGGGCTGGAGTGATTCAGATGCTTTTCAAGAGAACAGCAGGAAGGTACTGCCTGCCTGTGGGGTCACACAGGCAGAGAAGGCAGCATTGAGGCTCAGCCTCTCCCAACCTCCTGTCATGGTTTAACCCCAGCCAGCAACTAAGCACCACGCAGCCACTTGCTCACTCCTCCCCACTCCCAGTGGGATGGGGAGGAGAATCGGGGAAGAAGTAAAACTCGTGGGTTGAGATAAGAATCGGGGAAGAAGTAAAACTCGTGGGTTGAGATAAGAACAGTTTAATAACTAAAATAAAATAAAGTATAATTAAAAAAACCAACAATAAAACTATAATAAGAATAATACTAATGAAAAGGAATACAACAAAAAGAGAGAGAAATTAAACCCAAGCAAAGACAAGTGATGCACCGTGCAATTGCTCACCACCCGCTGACTGATACCCGAGCAGCGATCCACCCCTCTTGGTCAACTCCCCCCAGTTTATATACCAAGCATGACATTCTATGGTATGGAATACCCCTTTGGCTAGTCTGGGTTAGCAGTCCTGGCCATGCTCCCTCCCAGCTTCTTGTACACCGGCTTGCTGGCAGACCATGGGAAACTGAAAAATCCTTAACTTAGGATAAACACTTAGCAACATCTAAAACATCAGTGTGTTCTCAACATCATTCTCATCCTAAATCCAAACACAGCACTGTACCAGCTACTAGGAAGGAAATTAACTCTATCCTAGCAGAAACCAGGACACCTCCCAAACCCAGTTGTCACATACATCTTGGCCACCTCAGGCAGTGCTATCACCTTGATTTCCATTTAAACCACAAGTACTTTAAGCTAAGCTGTGAACTCTCATACCTGGCTGGTATTTACATCCCTTTTGCATGCCTTCCTATATGAAACCCTGTGCATATGAACAGATCCCTATTTCTTTCTGGCGACCATTTCATGCCTTGCTTTCCAAGACACTGCTGATCACCAGCAACCTCTGGGCCTCCAGCTAGCTGCTGGCCTCATGTCCTCCCCATGCAGTGCTCAGCTGGGGCTTACTGCAGCAGCAGTCTGCAGGGAAACTGCCGTCTGTCCCACTGGGCATCCCACCCATGAGCACTGTTCTGAATCTGGAAAGAGCAGGGCCAGGCAGATGAACAAATTTGCCAAAGAGATGCTCAGAGGCACTGAACACCCAAGTGCACTCCCTTTCTGGCACCCCGGTCTGGCAAGTTCTGCATCCCATCACCTTGCAGGTGGAAAGCCAGCTTCAGCAGGTCATTCGCTGTGCTCGCTGCCTGACTTTGCCTGCCCCAGGAAACGGGCATTCATTCATTCATTACATTTCCAATAAGATTTGTAATTAGCAGGCAGTCACGCCAGTCCAAAAGCCACTGTCAGCAGTGCTGGGGAAGGGCACCTCCAGTGAGCAGCCAGAACACCAGCTCCCAAGGAGCACTTGCTGCAGGGCAAATCAACACCATAGCATAACAAACCTGTGGTCCAAAACTTCAGCAAAAGCTCTTTGTAAAAATCAGCTCCTCCTGGCACCCCACACGGGGCCTGCACCAAGTCAGGTAGAAAAGCAAGTGAATGCCCACAGCTGTGGGTGTATGCTGAGGTGGTAACACAGTGTGCTCTGCCCGCCTGGAAGGTTGCTGCTTCTCTCCTCCATCCCCGGGGGAGATTTGTACCATGACTTGCGTGGGACAGTCAACCACTGGGAAGCAAAATCAGCAACCAGCAGCAAGAGCAAGCATGGTGCAGCAGGGAGAAAGCCACAACCTTCCTGCGTGTGTCCATGCTGGGACAAATATACAGTTTCACCTGCATCCTTTCTTTCTCCTTCCCATGTCCCTCTGCAGTCACAGCCCTTTGCTCCCCCACAGCAGCTGCCTTTCAGAAGAATGGGTCCATCAGGAGAAGTTGACGTGCTGACACCACAAATCCATCCCGGCCAAGACCTCAACACCAGTCACCAGTTGATTCCAGCACTAGCTAGTAGCACACACACCTAGCACAAGGGACTGCACCATGTTTTGCTGGCCCAGATACTGTCACTGGAAGCATCATGCTGGGAAATGCCAGGATTCCCTAGCCCACCCCAGAAGTGTCTCCAAGTACACCTTGGGATCTCCTTGTACATTCCGCTGGAGGACTGCCTATCAGCCTGGGATGGGGACCAGACGGAGCACAGCACTGCTCCTCACCCTCCTCAAGATACAAGGCACTGTGTCCAGGGGAAGTTCCTATCCCCCTTTACCTAGCCTTAGGTTTCCCTTGGCTGCTCCCAGGGCAGCTCCTCCCCACTGAGAACCCAGACAGCTCACAGCAGAGCTCAGCCTCTTATAGCACCCAGCAGAAGCCCACCACCCCTGTACAGAGCAAGAAAGCAACACAGGAACCAGGGACTCCTGCACCTTAAGCAGGGATGGGGAGACAGCACCTGGTCACCTATCCCTTCTCCTCCCCTTGAGCCAGGCATCTCCAGAGCCCTACTTCTGGCTACCCGGATGGGACAGAGCGAGGTCCAGGTCCTCACCAGCTCAGCTAAGCAGCACAGGTACCACCCCCTCAATGCAGCACATGGGGCTCCATGTGCCCAAGCCAAGGGTTCGGCCCCTCCTAAACCCAAGTGATGGTGATTTTGCCAGTGTTTCAGCCTGTGCTGGTGCTCTGACTCCAAGACAGGACTTAAAGGGCTTTGCCTGTTGGGGGAAGCCCAGCCAGAGCTCCTCCTGCTCTCTGCCCTGCTCCTTCCAAGCTCCCAGGTCCCCTCAATGCTCAGAGGACAGGAGGAGCCCTGTGCTTTTGCCAGGGTCTCCCAGCACCTGTGTCTGGAGCTACGCCAGGCACAGCTTTCCTCTCTTCCTCCAGCCTGGCGAGGCCTGGGGAAGGGCACTACGCTTCAACAGCCAAGAAATACCCAGTGCCAAAGGACCTGCAGGGAGGGAGTGCGTCCCAGGTGCTGGGGCAGAGTCACTATATTCCCCGAGGACACCGAGCCACCAGACCCTGATGCGGGATGACACAGCCAGGCCTGGGGGGGCGGGTTGGGGACTTGGCTTACCTGTTGGTTTCATTGCTATTAGCACATCCAGGGGGGACCCAGGATTAACAGGCCATGGTCTCAGTCTGGTAGCAACAGAGCAGGATGGCAGGTGAGGAAGGGTCCCTGGCTGGGTGATGCAGCAGCTGTACCACATGCTGGGCTGCAGCTTGCAAACGGATCTGTTGCTGTTTTAACTGTACTGTACCAGCCAGAAAGGATGCTGGATGGGTGTGGGGGTAGCTCTGCCAGCCAGGGGGGTATTTGCCATGGGGCAGGACTGGTAGAGCCCTTGGAAAGGGGAGCCTGGCAGTACTGGCAGCACAGCACTAGTGCAATGAAGAGAGCAAGAGCTGTGCCCAAAGGGGCCATGCTTACCCAGTGGGGATCCATGCGGCTTCTCAGAGTGGCACTGCCAGCCAGTCAAGGGGACACATGGCTGGTGCACAAGCAGTTTTAGTCTGAGCATTGCTGCCTCGGGCAGAGCGCCATGGCCGGGGACTGGCAGGGCTGAGAGAGGTCCTTGCACCATTTAGACCACAAAAAAAACCCCAAACCAACCCCATAGTGGCTTTTCCTGCCTTCCTCCCTCCTGCTTCCTCTCCTGGGAAGGGCTAAGGAGACCTTCGCAGCCTCACTGGGGGTGAAGCAGGAACCACACAGCCAGGAAGGAGAGGGGCTGTCATTACAAGTGGGCAAATAACCATCCTCAGTAGGAGCAGAGCACAAGAGGCAACAGAAACTGCCGGAAACAGACTGCCTGTAGAATAGGTCGCAGCTCCATCAGTCCTATCTGAACCCAAGGAGAAGGAAGGAAATCTAACCAGTGCAAGTACAAACCCAGAAGCTCCCTGGCACAGGCTAAGAGTAGAGCTTAAGAAGCGCTAGCAGGCAGAAAGTTTCCATCACAACCCTGAAGGACGGCAGCACTAGCAGCAATGCTGCCACGAGAGAAGGGTTTCTCCACAGCCTGACAGATCATGCATATCACCATCAGGAGAGACGCATGACACATGAGGCTGGGGACCACCTCCAGCACCGTCCATAGGAGAGGTGGCAGTCCTGGAGAGAAGCTGGTTAGAGGGATGCTAGAGGAACAAACTGTGTATGAAGGGAAAGACGAACAGCGTGGACGTGGCTCTGGCACTCCTCTGGGGTTCAGGTTGGGGAGGAAGGAGCTTACACTTGGTGGAAATAAGGGAGAGAGGGAGGATGCAGAGGGAGGGAGCATCCTTACCCCACTGCAGGGGCAAGTGCTGCTTTTGGGGGTCCTCAGGAGGCCTCCTGCTGTGCAGATTTATGCAGCTGCAGAGCCTCACTCAGTGCTGGCCCCTATGCTGATAACGGGGAGGAAGCCCGAGCCCAGAGGGGAAGCATGGGGAAAGGGGCAGTACCCATGTTAGGAGTGCGAGCTCCTAGAAACCACCAGAGACAGCTCCGACACCTCCCTCTGCCCCGCAGCACCAGTGCTCGTGAGGTGCTGCTGCTGCCCTTCCTCCCATTCCGCGGGAGGGGACACTGACAGGGTACAGAAGCCCCTGGGAACAGAGCAGCCCTCTCTGCAGGGCGCCTTGCTGGGGCTCCAGGCTGCAGCAGGCTACTGAGGGGCTGAGGTCTGCCCAGCAATGTGTGCTGCCTCCCCAGACCCACGCACAGGTGCCAGAGGGACCGAGCCTTTCCGCTTGGCCAACCCAGGATAACACAATGAAACCTCTCCCAGCAGCTCGGGGAGCCGGAGCAGAGCTCCGGGCCCCGGGGGCTTACCCCTGCTCCCTCTGATGCCTCATGTCTTGGCATGGATCGCCTCCGCACACCTTGCCCGGCTGCCTCGCGTGCAGGCAGCGATGCTGACAATAGCCTGCAGCTGGGAAGGGGGGCTTGCAGGGTCTGCAGGCAGATCCTACTATGCAACAGCCACCTGTGTATGGCTTTCCCCC